TTAATGGACAAAATACAATTGTTTTTCTTTGTATGTTAACTCCAATTGTCCATTCTTGGATTGAGTTTGCCGATTTAACATTGTAAACATGCATGTCAACAAAATACATTTTGTTAAACGACAAAACATTAACTGATAGTAGCAATACATGTACCAAGTGTTCGAATACTCATTGTTCGTGTATACGCCGACAAAACAGAAGTTACATTCTTAGCTTTACATTATCGAACCATCATGATTCGGATCAGCATAATCCAGCTTTACATGTTTTTCCATAGGAGATAAAATAAGCTCCGCCCATTTTCCCGCCCACTTCATCGTCGTGAATAAACTTATTTATCCGCTCATTTTCGGTATTTACCGTCGCCGACAAGAAGCGGCGTAGTTTCCGTTTACCATACCTTTTAGGTGTTTAGTTATTCACCAAACATAATTCACTTGCATTACACCAGGCTACTTACTGTCTGAGGTTAAATATTTTACTGTCTGAGGTTAAATATTTTTCAAGGAAGTAAAAACTATTGATAAGACTATATACAACGACAAATAAATTTTACTGAGGGTATTCCAGTTTGCATAGGATTGAGTAATATTTACAGTTAAGCTGCTACCTTACCACTTTCAAATTTTCAAGTCAACATCTGATAGAGATTTTGATACGACTAATGCAGACCAAATTCTGGTTGTTGTCTTTCCTAGTAGTAGCATTTACTAGTAACCTAATTCTAGCGTATGACTTGGCAAGAAAAAAACTTTTAACAATAGTAAAATTATAACCAAAGTTGTATGTACCCTTTCGTACATAACTTTTAATTTTTACCATACTGTATAGATATATGTTCCCATTTTTCCAATTTTGTTTTTCAATAATAATATTTAAATGAGTCCAAATGCATTTATGTTGATTATCAATTTATGTATACCTTGTTTGTTTGATCTCTTAGAAAGCCATCATTTACAAAACTTAATTAATATTCTGTGTAGTATTTCATGTACATAAAATAGTTCTCTGCTTTTGATCATATAGACAGCAAGTTTAGGTAACAGCTATTGACAGCATGTATACACAGATTTTAGAGGTGCTATTGATTCAGTACAATGCATAAAAAGACCTTAACCTACGTCAGCTTACACATATTTAATAATAAAAGGCTAAATCACATCCTATAACTCAAAATACCTCACAATGGAGGTAAACAGAGATGCAAGGATACAATGAATATTTATTTCAACATTAAAATGGGACAAATTCACAATTTTTTGGCTATACAACGGAATTATCGATAGTAAACTTTGAATTGTTTCGTGGTTAAACACTTGGTCAAAAATATGGGTTTTTCTACAACCAAAAATAGTCCTTTAAAGAAAGAAGGCACAGGCTTAATGTTCAGTTTCTCTTTATTCATGTTGCCAAAAGTGTCTTCCATGTATCGCATTCTATTTGCTAAATGTTACTATTTGCTGAATGTAAAAGATATGTTTACGAGTATTGCCGTGTAACGTATGACGGCACACAAACCCTAACGTTCATATCAACAAATAGTGGTGTGTGTCCTTATATCGGAAGCATTCCCTTATGTTAATTCACCAACTTTAGTTTTTGCATATTATTATGCTCATTATCAGTATATACGTTGTTACATTGTTACATTATATCTTAACCAATTTTGCAAATTTAACAAAATCAGAGTATGTTCAAAGTCAACTGTAATGCAGTTGATGTATGTGAAATTTATAACAGTTTCTATATAATTTGAAATATTTTGTACCAGCAAGACTTACCTCTCTTTATATTCTTTATATACTCTTTCATGAAAATTGGCTCCGCCTATAATTTTCGTCTATTTCCGTGATAATGCCATATATGGGAGTTGCAAAATCGTTTACAAATGTTAATCGCGTTACAATGTAAAAGGAAAGTGTTGAGTTGTAAACCTGAGTGTGTCAAGTTGATGCAGTTACATTCTCAAAGTCATGTTGCACAGCATTAAACGTATTGTGTACGTTCTATCGTTTACATTTCTACCTGTCGCAAATTTGAAGTTATACATTGCAACTTATCTAAGTTGCATGTGAACAGCTTTCATTTTATCAAATCGAGATAATCAAAATGCATAATACCAGTGCAGTATGTAACTCTCGGATCGACAATCAGATTTTTACTTATCTGTTTAGTAGAACCGAAGTATGCATTGTCAAGTTTCAAAGGCTGGATTTTTGGCAACGAATAACCTCCATAGATTTTAACCGAGTATAAATAAGATTGCCAAATGTTTTGATTGTCTTTTCTGTTTAACTTTGTATAATATGCAAATATATAAGCACTTTCCCTGACGTCACAATATGAAACCCTGGGAATAAATACAACCATAATAATATGATGTCCCCTTTTTTCCGCCCTCATAGTATTCCCGAGAAAAAATGAAGCATACCAACGAGTATGTTCTATGTTTCTCTCCAGGGAGAGAACTTAAGCGCAGGTAACTTATACTTGCACTCCAGTTAACGCACTGTGCATATCGGGTGTTCAATTTAACTGTGACACATTCTCAATATAAAAATCACCAAACTATGGTAAGAATGATTCTTTTTAATAGCTTTTGTTTTACATAAATATATTGTTATGCTTAACATGTGGCAATTTCATACTGTGATTAAAACAAAAACTATAAACGAATTTCTTGATCCGCCGTTACATTTAAATCCATCTAGATTTATTATGCATTAAAACTTAAAAAACGGGGTCCCCATAGAACGCTAAAAATGAGACTCGTATCTAAGTTTTTATTCAAAGACGTGCACAAGAACGAGACAAGAACAAGGAAAGAACTAAATGTGACAATTATTTCTTCCGACGTTAATACGTACTTATCCCATAGGAAGAAATTAAGATGTCAACCCAATAAACTTATACACGCTAAACGTTCCAATTTAATTCGTTGCAGACAGTGTAATTTTGTCATTAAAACGTTAATTTAAAAACTAGTCATTTTGGAGAAAGATGCAGCTATTTTTGTCTACATGACAATTAGAGGGATTGTTTCTGGTAAACTGCCAGACAACAGGAGAGAATGAATTTCATTGGCCATTCTAAAATCAGTAAAATAGTGTAAATAACTTCCTTCAAAGGGATTGGTCTACAATGGGCACTTTTGGCATAAGAAATTCAACTGTTGACAAAAACAATAGAAATGTATCATTTGGATATTCTTGTAAACTATTACATATTATAACTTAACTTATTATTGCTAGGAGACGTGGACGTTAACTTTCACTTTCCATTACCGCCCATAAACAGGCTCAATAAAATCGAGCCTGCAACATTTTCAATTTGGCCGTTTTATGTGATCGTTAGCAATTCTTAATTTCCCTTTTTTTTCTGAAAAATGTCGCTTAAGTGTTTTAGTATGAACATTTAATAACATTACGTCTTTTATTTATCATCTGCACTATAAATATAGGTTATATTGTATCATGCATCAAACACTTGCAAACAACATTTATATATAAGTATTTTGTTGATGGTTGTTATGTCAAAGCACGGTGGTTTTTTCCTTGCACAACACACATAAAGGCACGAATGTAATATTATGGTTTCAAAAATCACTTTTTCACTAGACCTTTGTTGTTGTTTTTATATTTATTAACTATAAGCCAATATATGTATTTACATCATATGTTTCTTCTAGTGCAGATTATTGACTTAGTATATAGAGCTAGCTGTGAGTGACCTTAGACATCATTAGCTGGTATTGGTTCACTTTATCTGGGGTTTCCATTTGAAACAAAAGTGAAAGGGCACAAGAAAGAAAACTTATAAAGGAATGACCACTTTCTTGTTGTGCGTTTTAAGTAAAACTAATATTCAGACTTATTAAATCTAAACCCATTGATATCAAACGACAATATTTTGTAAAAAAACGTAGTAGTTAATGGTATACAGACAATTTTAAGCCAGATGCAGACGAATGAAAATCATAGTCATGGCAAGATTTTAAAACCAAAACTGGTCTGAACTGCCATACATATCTTTTCTGCACCGTTCGCAATTCATGTAATACATATTTTGCAAGTTTTTTTTCCACAGTTTATATTTAATACTTTTATCATAAAATTTCTGAAAAAGGAATTGACGGATGTGTTTGATCAATGAAATGATGATTTCGGTCATTAAATAGTTATATCGCCGTTGCTCTTTTCTTTTTATTTGAATGATTTGCATGATTACTTTTCAAATAGTAACTGTATAGAAGGTGTAACATTTAATGATGAAGTACTTGGACTTGGATTGTTTATTATTCTATATGCTAACAACACGGTTATTTTATCTGAGTCAGCAAACGATTTACAAATAGCTATTAACCTATATAAAAGTTACTGTGACAAATGGAAATTAACAGTTAATACATCTAATACGAAAGTTCTTATATTTTCAAAAGGTAGGCGAATGGAGTATAGTTTTACATATGGTAATGAAAATCTAGAAGTTGTCGAGGAATTCAAATATCTAGGAATATTATTTATTAGAAGTGGTAGTTTCTTAAAAGCAAAGACCTATATAGCTTACCAAGCAATAAAATCCATGTACTGTTTAATTAAAAAATCAAATAATCTTCAATTACCTTTAGATATGCAAATAGATTTGTTTGACAAACTTGTAAAACCAATTTTATTATATGGTTGTGAATGCTGGGGATATGGGAATAACAGTATACTTGAAAAAGTACAATTGAAATATCTTAAACATATATTAGGCCTAAAATCTAGTACACCAAATTGTATTGTGTACGGCGAATGTGGTGTTAAACCAATTTTTATTGATATTGATTGCAGAATGATTAATTTTTGGTCTAATCTAGTTGTACCTAATGAATTAAAAGTATCTAGCACATTTTATCAAATTGCTCTTAAGACTTATAATACAAGTAGTAATGTTAATAGACAGACATTTCTGTGGTTTAAGCATATAAAAAATATACTTGTTAATTGTGGAAACCCTAATGTATGGACCTATCAGATGTTTCCTAATCACAAATGGTAAGTTGCCAATGTTAAGCAAAAATTGTCAGATATATTTTTAAATGACTGGTATTGTACAGTAAACGAATCAAGTAAATGTAAAAATTATAGATTATTTAAAGAAACATTCCATTTCGAACCCTATTTAATAAATACACCAAAAAACTTATTAAGATATGTAATTTAGTTTAGAACAAGAAACAGCAGACTTCCTGTAGAAACCGGAAGTTGGAATGGTATAGATTTAAATTTACGTAAATGTACTCTTTGTAACAGCTCCGGAAGTATTGGAGATGAATTTCACTATCACTTTGAATGCAATGAATTATCTGTACTCTGAAAAAGAACGTTAGATCAAAATTATTTAAGACATCCAAATATATTAACTTTTAAATCTATTATGAATATGAATATAACTCATTGAAATGAATACAGATTTTTTTGTTTATTTGTTAAGGAAATAATCACAAAATTTGAGAATAGATAAGATTTCTACATATTTGTTCATCATGTCCTTGAAAATGCGTGTTTCTCTCCATTTTGTTAAGATAAATTGTATTAATATTATTATGTTCATGTGTATGCTATGCCTCTTTATGTAATGTACGTTTATATGCTATAGCTCATATTGTCATGTGTGTACATGAATTGAGTTCTGAAATAAACTTTGAAACAGTTTGAAACGTGTTATAAGTAAATATAGTATCATTAAAAACAACAGATCGATTAAAAGCACTCAAATACTTTAAAATACAGGTGTCAATTGATTGATTTACAATAGATTTCTCTTTTGTTCATTATAGACAAAGTGCCCAGCTATTCATATTATTCTAGGTAATGTGATGATATAAAAACTGTTATTTGTAGAATTTTAAAGTTTCAATCTCAATGTTTAATCAGGCAATAAAGGATTGTTCTTCAAATATGCAGATTTTTATTGGTTAAATATTCATTGTGTTCTTAATTAATATTGATATTCGAACTTTATCTTCACTGTTAAATGACGTTCTGGTAATGAGAGGCAAACAAGTTTTTCCTGATGGGATGATGGCGTATTTAACAATCTCTATATTTCGATCCTGACTAAAACTTGAGCAAACACAATTTAACTATTTATATGTTACCTTAGTTCATGGTTATGATGGACCGTTTAATGTTAGTTATAGTTACTTTAAATTGACGGCAACAATTGTAAGATATATGGTCAAACAAGAAACGTGCTTTCAGGCATAGTCGAGTGATTCAATATACTATGATATGAGCATTTATTTATTTTAAGAAAAGAAAAACAAATGGGAAAACAAGGTTATAAAATATTACGTGTTCTTTTTACAATTACATTTCTTTTAGGACGTTCAAAAAGTGAGAGTATTAAACTCTTCAAACTTGACGTCCGTATTTCGGGAGTGTTTAAAACATACACTAACTTTTCATTATTGAAATGTTCTGTTCATTATGACAATATTCCGCAATCTTTGTCGTTCAATTATAATAGCGATGATCGAATATGTGAATTAAGTAGTGTTTACCCGGAAAGTGCAACTACGGATTTCGGTTGGAAAGTATACGGGCGCATTGGTAAGTCAATATTTATCACATCTTTTATATGTCAAGTTTATAAAAGGATATCAAAGATAATGTTTAAGTTGATAAGAATTTCCAAATGATAATACCTATTTGAAAACCGGCATCTGTGAATTAAGTAGTGTTTACCCGGAAAGTGCAACAGCGGATATTGGTTGGAAAGTATATGGGCGCATTGGTGAGTGAATATTTATCACAACCTAAACTGAGCCTGTAACATTTTCAATTTTGCCGAGTTAGGCTTTCTGTAGGGATACTGTTTTTTCTACTTAATATTAAACGTTTATGAGAAAAATATCAATGTTAAGGCATAAACACAATTGATAAGCCACATGTTTTTTTCGTATCATAATGTAATGCAAAAGCCGCTATAAGATTCAACGTTTATTATATCAACCCTCTGCAACAACATGTATTATTTTACAAACAAACGGAGTCACTGCTTTGTTGTCATTGCTCTGGGTATAACACAAAACTTCAATTTAGGTAAATCTAGATTTTTGTGGAAAAAGTACGACATATTTATAACGTACCAAACTCGATGATCTTGTGTGTGTTATCGTATCTTCAACAATTTCTACATATTTCGAACTGAAGGATATTTTTTTATCGTAAACATTGATGTATTTAAGGTAGACCATGGATACTACATAACCTCCACTTTGAAGAGAATAGAGAATTCAAATAGACTAGAATCACTTGTCAACTACATTTAAATAAGGGGCGTTGGTTCAAACCCCAGAAGGGGCAACTATATTTTTTTCTTTCTTTTTCTTTCTTTTTTGTTTTTAAATTATTTATGTATCTCTCAAATCCTTTATGAAAGATAAAAGTGTTTGATTTGAATTAATATATAATTATTGTAGGTATTTATTTGCTGAATAATGCCAAATCAGTTACAAATTATTTATCATTTAATGATTAACGTGTCGTTGCCCTGTCCTTTTTATGTTTGGGGTCCACCTGGGCTCCTTGCCATTGGTTCTTGTTGCTGGGTCATATGGGGGTTGCGTTCATTGAACGCCGCCTTTCCTTGTTGATCTTGTTTTTCATATTTAATAGGCAAAATGATATACAGATGTTTTCAAAGTTTAATAAAATAAAAACTATAAATAAAAGTATTGTATATTTCGCATGATCAACCAATATATTTTTCAAAAAAAATTGGCAAACTTTGAAAACAGCCACTTATTGTGTAAAATTTTAGGGATATTTTGAATTAAGCTATAGGGAAATGGTTAAATACGTGTTTAGAAAAAAACATTGTGTTCGTGTTATTCGTTACCTGAATGTTATTAATGAACAGTATGAAATTATTTCTCATTATAATGATATTATAGATTAACCAGAGTTTTCGAATTTCTGGAAAAAAAACCTGCTGACAGCAAAGTTTTATTTCAGTAATATATCAATAACTCATAAACAACACGGTAAATGTTACAGTTCGTCATAGTGACCATTATCCATGTTTAATGGTAAACACCTTAAATCAATGTGTACCAGGGAACAACGTGTAACGGACAAACGCGATATGTCAAAATATTGTTAAAATTACTATTGTGCAGTAAATTCGCATACAGGTTTTGTATTTATAAGTTTTCATTGCCACTCACCCTCAAAAAATGTAGTAATTTATAAACCAATGTGTACGTTTTGCAGAAGACACACACATCAATTGAAACTTGACCCATTTTCATATCAGAAAATTAGGTTAATCAAAATGTGGATAAGATTCATATCAGAATCAAAGAATCATAGTGTAATGAAAAAAATATATCAGAATTATATCAGAATCCTACTAGAAATGTATCGGAATAGTATCATAACTTTATCAGAATCAATTTTATTTCTGAAAAATATAAGAAACATATCAGTATCATATCAGCATCACATTGGAATCGTATCAGCATTATTTCTGATTTTAAAATCCTTCTGTCTTTTTATGTTTAATTCAGTGGACGGTTCCTGGGGCAACTGGTTGAACTGGGGCGCCTGCTCAGTAACATGCGGAGATGGAACAAGATCAAGATCAAGGTCATGTAATAATCCGTCACCTAGCAACGGAGGAGAACAATGTCAAGGGTCAAATGTCAACAGTCAAAATTGTAACATAAAGGAGTGTAACACATTTGGTAAATTTAAAACAGCAAATTTCAGAAAATGTATTTATTTATTTGAGAAATAACAATTGTACTAGGCATAATGTTATCCTGATCAACAAAACAATGTCTAACCACACATAATTTGTACATTTTGATCAAGTCGAGAAAGCCATGCAAATTACTTCTATAACATAGAACATGCCTAAACACGACATAGGATGTAACAAATTGTGTCGTCTAGAATGGTTGTAATTTTGATTTCGTAAGCAATTACGTCGTAAAAAGTAAAATTTGAAATATAGATCTACTACTTTATAAACAAGTTATAAAATATATACATGTATTAAAATGTCGTATAGATCTCAGTTTACACTATCATGATGGACAGATTGAACTGTCGAGTTGTAGTTGCCTAAAGGCTTAAGCGCTTGTTAAATGCCCATTCTGTCTCAGAAACCATTAAATTTCTGCTCATTTAGAAAGTGCAAACATGAGAATTAAATTTAATAAAAAAAAAGGTTCAAGTGTATTTAAAAGCTTGTTACATGGGGAAAGTAGTTCTAATTCTAACATTTTTGTCATGAAAGTATTAAAATGTAAACAAAGAAGTATTTTGGCTTCCATACAAAATGCCAAATTAAAGCAACATAGCTGTACTAATCGGAAAAAAGAAAGGGAAGAAACAGTTTTTTTCCAGGTAATTTGGCAATGAGCAACCTTTGAAACCTTGTACACAGACTTGTGTTGTTGTAGCTTGAATCAAGTATTCTGCAAAAAAGGGGTGATTTTGAAAATAAAAATAAGGAAATATTGAAACCGATGGACCATTTTAAATGTTTTTTGTGTAAAACTAAATGAATACCCCATCCTGCTGATAGTGTCTTTACACAATATTCAAACTCGATAACGGCTACACCCGGTTGTAATATTTAATTTCCGGTGTACTTTTGTTCTTACCCCTTAACTTTAATGTGAAATGTATTACATGAAATATGAAGGTAACACATTTGCGGATGTTCTTGATTTAAATGTTCACCATTTTTATATTCAAATCTTGAATTCTGATTAAGCCTATGTCAGGAAGCGTGGACGGTAGCTTGCAATTACCACTACCGTCCGTAAACCGGCTAAATCAAACCGACCATTAACATGTTTAATTTTGCAGGTTTTGGGCGTTTTAAGGGGTCTTTCTTAAGTTTCTCTATTTTGTTGCAGAAAGGCATTCGTGAATAGAAATTGTTTGTCTGTTTTCAGTTAATGGTGTCTTATTGAGTGAAGATGTAACAACGTGGGCATCTGCAAAGGTAAAAATCATGCCTGTATAGTGGCTGAATTATAAAACCTCGTATAAAAACAGTTTTCGGGTCGAAATGGGGAAATGTCGTATATGATTTCTAGACAAGATCGCCATTTTCTTCTTATTATTTTTTAAAGATTTTTCTCTTCTTCTCTAATTTAAGCACAAGTAATCAGCAATCAATTTAGTCTTTGGGGCATTTAAACGTACTTGCTTTACATTTTAAGGAAATTAAAGGACAATATCATATCATATCATATTATATATAGAGGACATTGAATGAGTGTAGTTTAATACTAAATCTATTGAACGAGTGTGAATAAAATCATATTATAAGAGCCTCTGCCTACAGGAATATAATATTCTATTTATCACATATGTAAAATAAGAACAGTAAACTGTTTAAATGAGTAATTTTTCAATGACGCGTACATAGTGTAACGCTAACATTAGCGCCCTTAACGCTATGTTTCTATATAGCGCAAATGACGTCAGGTCAAAGTGTTATTACATTAGTGTAACATCGTTTTTATTAAATGGCTTTATTACACTCCTGCACGGCAGTTTATGTGATAATATATTAAAGTATATAATAAGCTCATATCCAAAGATTTTGATTGTAAATTGACTTGTAAACTGCTACATTGTGCAGAGTGCAACATATTCTAAATCAGGCCATTTCATAATCTATTTTTAGGCAGCCTGTGAAGCTTTGTCCGCCAGGCTCGTTATACTCGAAAGTCAAAAAGAGATAGACGACATGATGACATCATTCAATATATTAGGTATTTAATTTTCATATATAAGTCACATCGGCCCTGTAAAAATGAAACGAGCTATTTCAGCTTTACTGGTAGAGGAAGACATCACGTGCCCTTTCGTCATTTTTTGGGGCACTTGTTATATTCTAAATATCTGGAACAAAATGATCTCTCTGAAGCACAAGAATCAGGAAATGACATGACACTTGCATGAGACTGTACATGAGAGGGATTGAAAGTGCAACATCCCTCACGCCCCCTAACACCGGCTTAAGCGGTTCTTAATTTCTCATTTTGAGCGGTACTCAAAAGTCAACAAGAAAAAGATTATCTAATGACTGCATTCGTATTTCTGTGTTGGTGTGTTAAGTCTCACTGACCTTGTAATGGTGATACAGCAAATTTTCAGCTGTTCTAGTGGCGTAAGATGTCACGTGCTCTTATGTTATTAGTCCAAGCACGAACGAATACTTTAGTAGAACCACCGACTTTTAGTCAGCTAGCTTGATAGCATATAGACATGACTTATGACTTTGTTCCCAGCCCCTCCCCCCTATTCCTAATATAAGTGTGTGCTTCATATATTGATTTTTCTTTACGAAGGATGTGTATATCGAACGTCCCGCCATCTTGTATTATTTGTGTTCACATGATCGAGAACTATAAATAGGCTTTCCATTTTGTTTAGTCCCGCCCATTGTTGTCTCGTTAAGGACACAAGCTTTCTTTTACTTGGGGACCATACGCCACTTTTATGAAATTGCCATGAAGACCATCCACAGATGTTTTTTTTTAAATTAAAATGTTCACCCGTTTTGTATTAAAATGCTAAATTCTGCTTCAGACAGTAACCGTTATTTGTAATGGCCAGTCCGTGCAAAGGCTCAATCAAGGCTAATATCAGTCTATCCGTCTTCTTTTAAGCTGTCACATAATATTTATAGATATACTATGCTCATCTTTTGGGTAATTAATTTATTGCATAAATTTATTGATATCTAGTAAATTATTTCTTAATACAATGTATGTCTAATTGAGAAAAAAAATGAATGCATAAATTATGTTTGGGATTCTGCATTTCCTATAATTTTTCCTGTGCCCTCCTTAATGACAAAATTGAATTATTTGTTTGGCCCTTCAGTATGTTGCTGGGGTTCAAAACGGTATGGGACTTTTGATAACTGCCTGTTCTTACAATTTGTCATTAGGTTTTGATCACTGGATTGGAATGACATGTACCGCGGGCTCTAATTGTGTGTGGATTGACGGTCGGTCTGTTAGCTCTGGATTTCAGGTATTTTGAAATATACATTTTTTTAAATATTTGTTGTGCGTCCGAGAGCTGAACGGAAGTATTTTATCGGTCGATCTCATATTAGTTTATGATTTATTCAAGAATCTTTCTCAAATTCACACATATAATAATCAAAATTTATAAGCATTTAAAAGCACACCATGCCTTAGAAATAATATTCATTAATTCTTTAGACATGTCAAATTGTTACATATGTTTGAAAATGTTTTAATAATCGATTTAGAGAATGTTAGATGTTTAACAGATGTTGAAAGTAGCACTGAATATACAGTGCAATGTGTCGGAAAGGAAGCAAAATGTTAACAAAGTGGTATTTTGACTTCCATACAAAACACTAATTCAATGTAATTATACCAATTGTAAATAAAGAAAAAGGAGCAAAGATAATCCATGTAATCTATTTAATTGGCAATTGATTATTCTACGGAGAATGGTAACATAGATACAGTATTCAAAATGAAAACATTTTTGAGAAATTAAAATGATTGCTTTTCTGGGGCATGATTGGTCTTTTCAATGCATGTAAGACTTATCAACTGAGATTCATATGTAACCATTATCACATGTATCCTGACCCTTCACGTGATAAAACAGAAAAAAAACGTTTTGGTAAATCTTGCTTTTACGATTGCTATAAATATAGAAACAGAAGTGAAATGATTTATTGTAATGGCCATAGAACCTGTCATCTATGTTACCTACCGTCAATTCAGAATCCCAATGTGGAATAAGTGTAAGCAGTTTGTCACAGGCGAAAATGTTTCAGTAATTACTGGTTAGTAATCCTGCAAAACCGGCTAGGTGTACCGGCTGCCGAGATAATACCAATGTGTTAAAACTGGCGTTAAAACAAAATATACACACACACGCCTTTGTCGTATTTTTCATTTTATTATCTGCACGTGACATTTCGGCGTGTTCCTAATTTTACTATTTTACCATTTTTTACTATTTTTATATGTGAATCTACTTTCTCACATTATTCCAAACCGTCAGTGGATTGTTAGTTCCCCTGTAAATCGCAATAACTTGAATGTATTTTTTCCTGCTTCTGAAGTTTAACGTTTGAAAAAAAGTTACTGCTTCACCCGGTACGAAGATGGGAGTAACAAAATGATTGTAATATATCAAATTTTATGATTTGTTCTTGAAAGACTCGTGCCATTTATAACACTCCGTTAGAGTTAAGGGGTTAGAGTCGATTACTTCTTATCCAGTTACCTCTCTGGCGTTGGATCAATCCCCGGGAGATGCTTTGGTAGTTTAACGCGGAGGAAGGTAGTCTAGTACTGGTATAACTCTCCAGATACGATAGTTAGAAAACTACCCGCCTATATGACTGAAATACAGTTGGGAAAAGGAGTAAAATGAAACAACAAACAAACAAACAAATATTAAAATTTGTTAAGTCGATATGCATGTTACGCTTTAATTAATGTGAGGAAAGAGAAAAAATAAACATAAGCAACAAAAGTGTCATTATAATGTTTCAATTCTTAACATTTTTTTTGCAGGCATGGGCGCCTAATGAGCCTAACTGGGGTGACTGCGTATATATCGGTATGCGGTCGAAACTCTGGGATGACACTGGGTGTACAGTTGTAAAAAGATATATTTGTGAACATATTTGAATTAAACGCATCATGTGACTAACATTTATTTTATAAAGAAAACGGATTTGAATTGATAGTGAAAAAAAAAAGAAAAAAGATATTTGAATCAACCGTGACAAACATAATTTCTAAAAAAAACGGATTTGAATCAATCGTAACTAACATTATTTCTTTACAAGAAAACCAGATTTTAATCAAGCTAGAGTAACATTATTTTTTTACAAGTAAACAAGATGTGAACCAAACTGACTCACTTCATTATTTTGCAAGAAAACCGGATTTGTATACAACGTGACCAACATTTGTTTTTTACAAGAAAACCAGATTTCAACAAAGAGCATACCGTGACAAACATAAGATAATAAATTTGAATCAAGCGTTACAAACATTTATTTTTAGAAGAAAAACAGACTTGAATTAAGCATGTCCCACCTTCATGTTAACAAGAAAAACATATGTGAATCAACCCTGACTAGCATTAATATTTAAAAGAAAACCAGATTGGAATCAACCGTGACTAATTTGAATAAAGAATGACTAGTTTTATTTGTAACGAAAAATAAATCAAGCGTGACATTTTTTTTTATTTTTAATGTTGACTTCTGGTTAAGCCTCTGCTGGTTTTGGGTATGGACGATAACTTACTTTTTCAAGTACCGTCTTTGAGAACAGCCTGACATATTTTCAAATTTATTTTCTGGACGTTCTTAAGGGATTCCTATTTCTCTATTTTAATTTGAATTTTAACAAAACTTGAAATGATATTGTGCCCAAAAAGAATCATAGACCGACCAAAATACCATTGTGTGGCATTAAGGGAACAAGTTCAAATGAGTGTCATATGAGCTGGGAAAAAGATTTTTCGAAATTCTCTCAAATTTCCCCAATTTTGTGTTCACACAAAACACGTTTATATCCGGTGTCCTATACTGGCAACAACGAAAAATTGATTGTTTTTATGGAGGTTGTTGAATGAGCGTTGTTTCAATACTAAATTTATTGAATGAGTTTTAAAAAAATTAGAGTTATAAAATAATATCATGGGAACATTTCAATAAATGTTTAAATAAACCTACATATATTTATTTTATCACATACTGAAAGATCCAAAAACGGTATTTAGTTACTATAAACACCAATTAATTTAATGACACGTCTTTATCCACGGGAGTGGAACCCCATATGTATCTCAAAAATGAGCACCGGTAAAAATTATAATATAGATGCGAATTTCTGCTGCACCTGTGAAGAATAACACCAGATGTGACTAAAAATAGGTCAATTGCAGGGTACATTTTCATCTGTTACGATACCTTTACAAAGTTCATTACTTCCGGTTTGGTTTGTCTAAGTTACATATCCTGTTTAAGTGAATTGTTTATCATACGAGTACTATCTGCTCTGCGTCATCATTTTCATGTTCTCGGGCCTTTTAGTATTTCTAATGCTAGTTTTTTACAATTTAAAGCGCACGTTTACGTTGTTAAACTAATATACATGACACTGTTGGGTTTTCCTACGGAAATTGCGGTGTCATACAAAATGAAATTGCACGTTGCAAAACTCATCTTTGATGATACGGGTTTTCAACTGTTTTCAGTTGCATAACTTTAATATGCAAACAAATTGAAAGAAAAAGAAAAAAAAACTTCTATCTAATGTTTACAAACATATTTGATTCGTGCCCTCTTGTAACATAATTTTGTACATACTATTTGTAAGAAACACATTTAAAAAATAACCTGACAGCAATAATTCCTGACCAAATTTTTAATTTAAGGTTTTCTTATTGTTATTTAGTTATGTTTTCAAATTTTCCGTTTTGTGCTTTCTTGAGGGATTCGGGTATTATCTATGTGAGAACAAGAATCTTTCTACAACGAATTGTTACTTTGTTTCATTTGTTGAATGTACCCACCTATTGTAGCGTAAATTGACATTTTAATAACGCATTTCAGTTCATGGACTTTCCTGCAATATCCGATTAACAGGCTCAACGATTGCGAGCCTGCAAACTTTTTACAATTTAAAAGTGTTAGGCAATTATTCATTCTCTTATTCAAATTAGACGTTTTAAGTACGATTTTTTCCTTCATTGCAATAAAATTATGCGATAAAAATAGTTAACTTTAGGGATGACCATAGTATATCTTTAATGCAAATTTTCTTCCTAGCAGATTCAATTTTCTTAAAGCTTGTAAAATGCTGGATGACGTACATGGTTGTTTGCACTTACAACTTCAATCCAAGAAGACGCTTACTTAAATTTCGATTTTTATTTAAATTCGCATGGGTCGTCTGTGACCGAGTGGGTAAGACCGTTGACTTCAAACTACTAACTTCTCTTCACTGCGGGGTTTGGACCTGATATAGTTTATTCTATCTAAGCAGGCTATCTAGTTTGCTGACGGAATCCCGGTGGTATCACTCAGGTGCCCTTTAGTCACTAAAATAATACAACTGAGGTATTCTGTCATAAGTAAATCTGGTTAGCCGCCATATCACCTTCACATTGATGTTGCCTCGTAAAATCCAACAACTCTGCTTATTGTTTCTCCTTTAGGGCATTTTGTGTACATTAATTTAACGTATACAAATAGTATTTTTGAAAAAGAGTATCGAATCACGAGACTATCTTATTTGTACCAATATCAGATTGCCAAGTATTTTGATGTTCTCTCTCTTTTGTATAATAGTAAAAAAAACATACTTTCCCTGTCGTTACAATATGAAACCCTTGAAATAAATGTAGCCATTGCATGGGCATCTGAATATGAGTTTCCCTTGCCCGTCGTCATAGAAATCCCGAGAAATAATGTAGTCATTCAACGGGTGTGATCTATATAATAGATTTTTATACTTTAAAAAATAGCAAACGAGATCCCTACAGAACGTCTAGACGACTAAATTAAAAACTAGACTCGTATTTTTTTTTTTCAAATACGTGCACAAGAATTAGACAGGAACCAGGAAAGAAATAAATGTGACAAATATTTCTTTCGACGTTAATACGTACTTAACCCATAAGAAGAAATTAAGATGTCAAACCAATAAGCTTATATACGCTAAACGTTATAATTTAATCTGTTGCAGACATTGTAATATTGTCAACAAAAATTGTGGCTAAAGATGCTGCTATTTTTGTTTATATTTAGTTGGGTTGCTTCTGGTAAACTACCAGACAACAGGAGAGTGCATGATTCTCATTGGCCATTCTTAATTTGTAAAGTAGTGTAAATAACTTCCTTCAAAGGGATTGGTCTACAATGGGCACTTTACGTATAAGAAATTCAACTGTTGACAAAAACAATAGAAATGTATCATTTTGATATTTTTGTAAACTTTACATGGAAAAGTGTCGATTAAGTTTTAAGTGATTTAGTATGGTCATTAAATACGATTATGTTTTCTTTTATGTATCATCTGCTCTGTAAGTATATGTATTATCAGGCCATGTATCTCACACGTGCAAACAAGCAAACAACATCTATAAATAATTATTTTGCTACCTGTTGTTGTGTCTGATACTTAAAGGCCCTGCATGTTGAAATTAAGGTTGTCACCACACTTTAAACTTTTTGAAATTTTATTATTTTTATAATTATGCTGCTTAAACAATTTGCAAACATCAATGAATATGTAAAATATGTACTGCAAATATTTGTCCACATTTTATATAATCATCGAAATATATGTATTCATTTCTAATTGAAAAAAAAATATAGAAAATAAATTTCTAATTACCTGCTTTTATTAACATGAGATGTAAATTTGGTAATATCTTTAGAGATAATGCTTTTGGAACTTACAATCTTGAAAAATCTTCATTTGAGCAAAAAATTCATGACATAAAACCATAAAAAATATGTTACGGGATCTTGAATACTATAAACTTATTAATTTATTGTATTACAAACTTTATTACAACTTAGATCAATTCAGTTTAAGAATAAACACGTTATATTTCTTGACTAATCTGAAGGGATTTCGGAAATAATCTTTCTTGTAAAGTTTCCCAGATATTTGATTTCTGTAAGCCGTTCTTCTTCCAAAACATATTTCACATTGCTTTTAAAATTGCATTGAGTCTCAAGTAAACAGTTTATTCTACATTTTAATTTACTTACAGACTTTATTTATTTTATAATTTATTTATTTTCAAATTACGATCACAACCCGGATTTTACTGGCATGAAAATACTGAGAGAAAAACAAATGCATTAAAAAATATCAAGAAGCAAAGTGCACGTGCCCCCCCTCTACTCTCTGTAGAATATCAGGGTAGATGATAACGTGACATTTGTTTACGATAAAATTAGAGTACCAAAACTAATTTCTAATAGCCCTGCATACCCAAGTCCATTTTATAATTAAATACAGATAAAATACAAAAGGTTAGTTCGTAGAAGTTATACAATACATTATCATTTAAAATTTATAAAGTCACGACTGGACGTATAATAAATATTCTTAAAGATTGAGCTCCAAATATTGATTTAATTTATTTATTTTGAGTGTCATTTTGGTTCCCTCTTGTTTTGTTCTTTTTTGTTTTTTTTTTCATACAACCAACACACTAATTGTCAAGGCACGTTGGCACTTTTCTTAGCACTGTACACAAAGGAACGAATGATGTTTTATGGTTTTAACTGTCACATGTTTCATTTGATCGAGATATTTTTATCAATTTATAAATCCTCTACATGCTGCTAAAACAATTTTCATTCATTTAATAAAATCACTTTTCCATCAGACCTTTTTGTTATTGTAGTCATCTTTATTAACTATTAGACAATAGCTTTAATTAAATCACATTCTCATGCTAGTGCAGATTATGTGTGAATAAAAGTATGTGTACTTTCAAAGGAAGTGGAAATAGAAGAAAAAGGGTATGGTTGAGATTATTGCTCAATAGTAAAAGGTGAATTCATGCCATATACATCAGTACATGAGATAGACCCTCAGATAATAACGACAAAATGCTCTGATCTGATATCTTATTATTTATTTATTTTTCAGTTAAAAAGTCAATGTTTATTTTAGAAATCTATAATAGTTATTGATAAAAGAAAACTAATAAATGGTCAGCCACGTTCTATCGAGATATTTTTAAATTCTGACCAATTGCGGCTTGTCTGTTTATTTGACCAATTGAAAAGGATACATTGTTCGTAAATATGTTAATCTTAATCAACTAAGCTTGTAGGCGTTGTTGTGCGGTTTAAGTAAACTAATAATCATACTTATTAAATCTAAACCACTTGATATAAAACTACAGTATTTAAGAAAAATGATAAATAGACAATTTTAAGCAAGATTTAGAAGAATGAATATAATACCTATGGCAATATTTTAAAACCAAGAATAGTCTAAACTGCCATACATTGTTTTTTGCACATTTTGCCATTCATTTAATACTTATTTCGCAAATTTTCTAAAACAAAAAGGAAATGATAAATGTGTTTGATCAATAACATGATGGACTAGGCCATTTAACAATTTGAAACGTGTTAAAAGTCACTATAGTATCAGCAAACCAACAGATCGTTTAAAAGCACTCAAACACTTTCACTGACAGGTGTCAGTTAATTGATTTACAATAGCTTTCTCTTTTGTTCATTTAAGTCAAAGTGCTCAGCTATTCATATTTTCAACGTAGAAATGATAAAACTTTCATTTGTTGGTTTTACTCTTGATGTTTAATCAGGAAATAAAAAATTGTTGAACAAATAGGCAGATTTTTATTGGGAAAATATTATTGATATTCGAACATTATTTTCACAGTAAAATATTGTTTTGGTAAAAAAAGCAATTCACGCTTTGAAATACAAATAAGTTTTTCCAAATCGGATGATGATGTATTCAACAATCATACTATTTAGTTCGATTCTGACTAAAACTTATGCGAAAACATTTTACCTCTATATTTGTTAACTTAAATGCATAGTAATGCTGGAGAGTTTTTTTTGCTTTTTTTGCTTTTTCTTATTACTTTAAATTGACGGAACAAATTGTCAGATAAATATGATCAAATAAGAAACGTGTTTACATTCGAAATCGAGACATTTTTATTATGATATAAAAACACACAAATTAAAAAAAAATATGGAAAAACAAGGTTATAAAAAATTACGTGTTCTTTTTATAGTCACATTTCTTTTAGGACATTCAAAAAGTGAGAGTATTAAACTTTTCAAATTTGACGTCCGTATTTCGGGAGTGTTTAAAACATACACTAACTTTTCATTATTGAAATGTTCGGTTCATTATGACAATATCCTGCAGGCTTTGTCGTTCAATTATAATAGCGATGATCGAATCTGTGAATTAAGTAGTGTTTACCCGGAAAGTGCAACTACGGATTTCGGTTGGAAAGTATACGGGCGCATTGGTAAGTCAATATTTATCACATCTTTTATATGTCAAGTTGATAAAAGGATATCAAAGATAATGTTTAAGTTGATAAGAATTTCCAAATGATAATACATATTTGAAAACAGGCTTTACTTTTACACATGTATCAACTTTTCATTTGAACTATATACAGCAACTTGTATTATACAAACCGGGTCAGTGATCAAAGATTGTGCTTTTTAACCTTTGCTCTTGAGACATATTCTCATTTTTAAACTAACTTTAAAGTCACAACAGCACGTTTACTGTTAAGAAGATGTGTACAGTTGCATCGTTCGTCATCTCAGCATTCTTTAAGCATATATTAGGAGCATCGATGAACATGTGTGATGATGAACATAACGTAATTTCTTCTGAGCAGACTCATTTTAATAAGTTCTACAACATTCAACTATTTGCTTTTATTTTTCTTTCTCCCGGATATAATATAAAACTTCATTTTAAGTTAATTTTGTTCTTTTTTATATATAAAAGTTATATCATGTTTATTATGTAACTGAAAAAAGATAGTGTGTGTATTATCGTGTGTTCAACATTTTTACATATTTCTAAATGAAGCATAATTTATTGTTTTATCGTACAAAGTGTAAAAAAGTACAATGGTAACTGACAAACGCAATATATCAAAATACAGTTTCACTCACTATTGTACAGAAAATGTACACAAAGATTTTTGTGTTTTTTATGTTTCATAGTAAAACACCCTCGAAAAATGTAATTAATAATTTGTCAGTATGTATATATTTGCAGAGTACACATATAAAAATGATATTACCCCTCACTTTTAAAACAGGTTAATCACATGTAGCTGAGAATCATATCATAATCATATCAGGATCATAATTATAAGAATCATATCAGAGTCATATACTAATCATTTCAGAATCACTTTAAAATCATATCGGAGTCATATCAGAATCATATATATCAGAATCACATAAGAATTGAATTAGAACAATATCAAAGTCATATCAGAATCTTATCAAAATCACATCAGAATCTTATCAGAATTACATCAAATTCTTATGAAAATCATATCAAAATCATATATGCATCTTATCAGAATCTTATAAGAATCATATAATCATATCAGAAATATATCAGATATTGACACCTTTGCACTAAATGTTGTTCACATATTCTTTCTCGTCGTGTCATGTCAGCATCGCCTCTGAATTGTACTGCAAAACTGACAAATCATTCTGCCTTTCTTATTTCAGTGGACGGTTCCTGGGGAAATTGGTTGGACTGGGGCGCCTGCTCAGTAACATGCGGAGGTGGGACAAGGTCAAGATCAAGGTTATGTAATAATCCATCACCTAGCAACGGAGGAGAACACTGTCAAGGGTCAAATGTCAACAATCAAAATTGTAACAGCAATGAGTGCAAGACATTTGGTAAATTTTAAATAGCACAGATAAGAATGCTTATTTGTTTATTTGAAAAAAATAATTTCTTACTGATCAAAATGCTATCATTCCTAATCAACATCACAACATTTACCCAGAACGTAAGATTTGTACATTTTGATCATAAGTCCAGAAATCCATGCAATTTAGTTAAACAACATATCAACATGATAGTCATTGTAACGAAGTGTGTCATCCTGATTGGTTAAAATTTTGATTTTGTATGCAAATTCGTTGTTGACTTTTTAACTTGCAAGTTATAGTACATCTATACATTATGCTATATAGATTGAACACTTACATTACAAAAGTCTGAACAGACGTTAAAAGTATTTTAAAATTTAAAAAAATATTTTATTAAAACAACAACAAAAATATTTTTAAGATATATATAATATTCTAACATCACGTGATTTATTTATAGTTTTCATTTCTTTTTGTGACGTCAAATAGTAAATAGTTATAATACGTTTCGGCCCTCTTACATTACCTTACGGCTCTAAAAACCAATAGATGGCGAGTTATATTTGCTTATTATAATAAATGCTTTAGGGGCTTGTTAAAAATGTTTGTTTCGAATAAGAAAATAAATATCTCAACTTATTAAGAGCTATATGACGAAATAATCAACATCGATAACGACATCACTTTGGTTGTAATACCTTATCTGGGGTTTGATGTTTGTTAAAAATAAATATGATACTAACACATCAGCGGACGTTTCTTTCAAATTTCACCCTGTTAAATGTTGAATTCTGATTAAGCCGTTCCTATTAGACATTTCTACCTTAAACGGAGTTCGTTGTTCTCGTAATACAGAATAAATTGGGAGATATTCTCAAAACATAACTTTGCGGAAAATAAGTTAAAAAGATCAATACTCTAAAACTGCAATAAAGTGGTTTTGTACATGCATTTGCTTGTTATAGTTTTTCTTGAACTCGTCAGCATATTAAAAATGGAAATAATATAAACATAATTTCATAATTTATGTAAAGACTGAAAAACAACAACTTAAAGTTTCTTAATTTATATACTCTGTTGATGTGCAAATTTATCAACCAATGAGTCACCAGGGCGCGTTTTTTAAAGTTTTAAGTGTCGATACATTGTGTGTAAGGAGGACTAAAAGTTGTAATCACCACTGTTGTTACTGCTGACGTCAAGTTCAAAGAGTAGTTTTGGATTTATTTGTTCAGGAATTTCCTGTAGAAAGCCTGGTTTTCGTTAATTTGATCTGCGAGGGAGTAATTATTCCTCCAGCGATGTGACGGTCGATGACGTTGACCTACCACAACATTTGAAACAGTCGGCACTGGTGTTGAAATTTGTCTGGAACTGCCCTTATTGTTGTTAACCTGTATTTCTTGCTTAAGTTGACCGTCTGCGGGCTGTTAAGCTCGATCACCTTCTCCAACATAATAGTCGTATGCATATTTGTATAATACTGCTACTAATGTAAATATGTAGTAACGCTTCAGTGTGAAATGTACGCAAATCTCGAACGTTAGAATAATACAAACGCCGCTGAATTCACAATAACTTGCGTGAAGTGACGCTTGTTCGTGTGTCTCATTCATTGATCGCAATATGTCGTGTGATTTTCCATCCATTGCACCAACTGCGGGATACATTTTATCCTATTAAGCATGTTCATTAAGCGACTGATCTATGGTAGGACAAGTGATTTAATGCGCAAATGTTGCGTAAAATGTACGTTACACTGTGCGAATTTTAACATGTACAAACGTGGTGCACACATTGAATATGGTGTTTAGTGTTACAAGGGTCTGGTAACATCGTATCCATATCAGAAACAATAAAATTATGTTTACTGGAGACAGTTTGTGGCGGCTGTTATTTCATAAAGATATGTAACATATTTATTAATGTTGCAGATGTTTTACCAGTAAGATTATAAAATTGTACCTATTTTCTGAGAATATATGGAAACACGTTTCTTTCGGATTATATACACTTTGACGAGTATCTAGTACAGAGTTTAGATGTGGTATTACTACGGCAACTAAACATGACCGTACACTGTTGATATATTCTGAAGCATCTGGCAGATATTGAACTAAAGCAGGAAGTGATACTAAAGATAGCTTCCCTTTATTCTGAAAATCTAAATACAATGCAAACAGTAGTGTAGCAGCGAAATGTAACACAATTGTTGTTAAACACAACAAAACGTTTTAAGGACAAACGTATTCCCACGCAAAGGTGTAATTGTAAGAAAATCACTAACTTTCGAGGACCTACGGTTCAATGTATAATCGTTATGGCCTATTATACTATAATTGTATTATTCTAACGCTCGAGATTTTCGCACACTCGCACTGAAGCTTTACTAAATATTTTAATACTTTAATATCAGTGATATTTATACGAATATACATACGACTATTATGTTGGAGAAGGTGATCGATCGAGCTCAACAGCCCGCAGACGGTCAACTTAAGCAAGAAATACAGGTTAACAACAATAACGAGGAGAGGCCGGTTCCAGACCAAGTTCAACACCAGTGCCAACTGTTTCATATGTTACTCTTTGAACTTGACTTCAGCAGTCACAGCAGTGGTGATAATTACTTTTAGTCCTGCTTACACACAATGTATCGACACTTATAACTTGACAAAACGGATCCTGGTCATTGGTTGATAACTTTGCATTTCAGTAGACTTCAGCTGAGTATAAAAATTAAGAAATTTAGTCCTTGACTTTTTAGTCTTAACATAAATTATGGTTATATTATTTCCATCTTCAATATGTTGATGGTTTCAAGGAAAACTATAACAAGCTAATGCATGTGCAAAAACCACTTTATTATAGTGTAAGATCTTTTTTGGTCTTATTTTCCGCACAATTATGTTTTGAGAAAATCCCCAAATTTATTCCGTGTTACGAAAAACATTTTACGAAGTCCGTTTAAAATAGAAAGGTCTATTGAACACAAGCTTGCATTTTCCGCTATCGTCCATAATATGGCTTAATGAAACAGAACCTGCAACATTTTTTTAACTTTGCCGGGTTTTGGCGTGTTTAAGGGTCTTTATTATATTGCAAAAGGCCAATCGTGAATAGATATTGTTTGTTTGCTTACAGTCAATGGATTCTTATTGAGTGACGATTCCAGGACTTGGGCATCTGCAAAGGTAAAAAATACATATCTGTATAGTGGCTGAATTATGCAACGTTGTAGAAACCTGATTTCGGGTTGAAAAGAGGAAATGTCGAAAACGTTCTCGGGCGTATTTCAAGGCGTAAATGGCGAAGTTCGAAAAATCGTTATCAACACAAAATCACTATAAGCTGTATAGTTGGTTTTAGTTGTTGATTTTTGACACCTTGCTTAACCAATGTTTTTTAAGACTCAGCGTATATAGGGCAAGAAAGAGACAAAGACAAGATCGCCATTTGTTTGTCAATCATACGAAAACATGAAGGAACGATATTGGTGTATGTGCCATCTATCGAAGTAACAAAATATAAACGTTTAATTGTTCTAGGTTTCCTTAGGAGACGTGTACGGTAGCACTTATCTATGAAAAGTTTCAATTATTTCTTCTATACGAAGCGCAAGTAAACGGCAAACAATTTAGTCTATAGACACTTAAAGTTAATTGTTTTACATTTTACGCAGATACTGTGCCGATATTTGCATAATAGATAGTCAGAAGTGACTATGCAATTGAAGAAGGTCCTCAAGAAAGAATCATGTCCGCCGTACAGTACTTTTACATAGATTGACGAACGTAAAGGATGGTTTAAATATTTGTTGCTGCCGTTCATTACTTACTTTATATAACGTCGTCTGTTACAGATTAAATTCGTCCATTTAAAGCTACTTTTAATGTTTGCATATGTTGCTCTTTTAACCAATCTGTATATTATATTGTATTTTATTATAGTGTAGTGTAGTGTAGTGAAGTATAGTTTAGTAAATTACATAACATTACATTAGATTTCATTTTTGCCAATGATCTTGATTGCAGAATTTACTTGTCAACTGCTACATAGCAAAGCTCAAAAGACACTACTTTTGATCATTCACAAACTATTTTCAGGCAGCCTGTGAAGCTATATCCGCCAGGCTGGTTATATTCGATAGTCAACAAGAGATAGACGGCATTATGACAGCATTCAATATACAAAGTAATTTTTAATATATATAATATATTCACATCGCCCCTTAAAAATGATAGATTAGCTTTCCAGCCTTACTGTTAGATGAAGGCATCACTTGTCCTTTCCTAATTATTTCGGACACTTGTTATATTCGAATTTCAAGAAGGACGATCTGATGATAGCATTCAATGTACAAGGTATTTTATTGTTAGATGTATAAGTCATACCGACCTTCTTAATGTGATACGGCAAGTATAAGTTAGGATGTCGCCTTTAGATATTTGACAGAATTTGAAAGTCCCAACATTTTGTTTCTTTTGGTATTCACGTCATAAAGAATTCAAGGTAAGCCTTCAATTTTGTTAACTTCTCTCCGCCCATTGATTTCTCGTTAAGGACATACGCATTTCTTAACGAGGACCATAAGCAATTTTTAATGGAATGACCATTTAGATCACTATATGAACATATACATTCAGTGAATGTTTTAAATTCAAATTACCCACTGGTATAGTGACTGTTAAAATGCTAAAGTTTTCATCACCCGATAGTAGGGGAATGGGACTGAAGCTTGCAATTTCTAGTATTGTCAATGCACAGGCTCAAATGGCGCCTGTAACATTTTCAATGTTGTCGCTTTGGAAGTTTTTTTAGGGATTCCTGTGTTCTCTATTTAACTTTGTCAAGCAATTTTTTTATTTATTTTTCTTAATTCTTTCTTTTATTTGTGCATTGAGATACACTGTTACGGCAGTGGACATGCATTGTTTGTCAGTTATAGGCGTATTATCGGTATCTCGGTCTTCTTCTAAGCTGATACGGAATATTAAAGAATTTTCATTTCTTCACATACATGTATTTGATAATGAGGCTGTTCGTATTTGTTAAGTTTATTAGACATGTTAAAATTGTAAACTTGTACATGATATAGTTTATTAGAAATAAAATAAAGTATAAATTATATAATCGTAAACATTCATATATTGATTAAATTTTGAGGTAATAAACGGAAGTTCTACCATAAAAGACATAGGAATATAGCGCTCATACTTTTCCGAAACATGTATTGTAGGATTGATTGACAGCAGTAGTGAAATGAACGTTTAAAAAAGAATAAAAATTGTTATCTATTTCTTTTCACACTTGTTTAAACGAAAGACAATTTTATCATTAATAAAAATCCATCTGCCACACATCATCATGCCTAGGTATTAATAGTTAATGGCTAAAGAGAGAGGAAAATGTCTTCGATCAATAGGGAATAAAATAAGCCGGCATATATAAGACAACCAGTTTAAACAGGAACATAACAAATTTTATCAGAACATATGTTTTCCATATATTTTCATATATAGGAATTCACAAGTACCCCGAATTCTCGCCAGGCTAATTTAATACAATTTTTAATGACTTAATATTTGTTTTATATATAATTCATTCATCATTTGTTTCGTTATAAACACTGATCACTCTGATAGACAACTTTGTTTTCGGTCGATGTTTGATATCACTTGTCTATTCTTATAATTTTTATTAGGTTTTGATCACTGGATTGGAATATCATGTACCGCGGGCACTAATTGTATGCGGGTTGACGGTCTGGCTGCTAGCTCTGGATTCCAGGTATGTTGAAATGAATAATTATGTTTACAGTTTGTTTATTGATTTTAGTTGTGTTTTTTTATTGCGTCAGTCAGCTGAGAGAAAGAATAAGGGCGGTCGATCTCAGATTGGTTAGTCAACTCTCTTTCTACATTGTACATCATTCATCAAAATATAAATAAATGTAAGACCAATCAACCAAGATTTATAAGAGACATATGTAACCAGTATCCTACATAAATTTATTATTTACGCATAAAATATAAAATAACTAGAATACTGGTTAATTTGACTTTTTTGTTCTAAAATTGCAAAAAAAATAAGAAAATGGAGAGAAATAATTTAGTGAAATCGCTATAGTATCTCTCACCTTTGTTGCAGTCGCATTTTCGGAAAACCCTGTGGAATAATTATAAGTAGTTAGTCACAGGTGGAAATAAAATAAGAAATTATGTGTTAGTAAATATTCCGGAAACAAAGTGATCCCTCGGAAGCATCAATCACAACAAAATAACATAAGAATTGCAGACTCGGTTTGATTGAGTCTGTACATAAGGGATAATGAATAAGTGCAACATCCCTCACGCCCCCTAGCACCGGCTTGAGCGGTACTCAATTCTCAACACTTTATAGTGCTGGCATCAATGATCCCGAAGGACCAGAAAATATAACAACACTGAAGTAAAGTACGGGGCAACTTTTTACGGCTGCCACACGGCACTTGACACCTGCTGTTGTGAAGTACAAAATTCTGGAAACAAAGTGATCCCTCGGAAGCATCTATCCCGCAAAGTCAGTAAGGTGTTGCGACTGCCGGAATATGACTATTGTGTTAAAACTGGCGTAAAAACTAAAAAAGAAACACACAAGATTTTCGTTGTGTTCATAATTTTAATATTCTACATTTGATATCTTGCCGTGACTTTTGTCCATATATTATATTTTTACAATCAATTCACTTTCTCATTTTTTTTCCAAACTGTCACTAGGTGCTACACTTTTGTAAATAACAATGACATGAACATACTAGTATTTGCTCCTGCTTCTGAATTATAATTTTTGATAACTGAACACCGCTTCATCCGGTGCTAATGTTGGAATAACAAGATACATTGTTTTTTATTGACTCATTGTTGAAAAACTCATGTCATTTATTAAACTTTTTTTAAAAGTCTAACTGCATGTAAGGGTTAAATAAACCTAGTCCTTTCTGATAAAAACAAACATTTTTAGACAAAAACAACAAACTTGTAGCATTATTATGTTTCACTTCTTTACAAATTCTTTTCAGGCATGGGCCCCAAATGAGCCTAACTGGGCTGACTGTGTGTATATTGGTATGTCGAAGAAATTGTGGGACGACACTTACTGTGGCGAATCGAGACCCTATATTTGTGAACAGATTTGAATCAAACTCATACCACACAATTTTGCTGAAAACTTTTACGCCGGCTTTTAACTTTTTACCCTCATTTCATTAAAATCTATGAAACTGTCAGTTTTGTAAGTGAAAATGATAAGCTTAGTTTACAATAATTTTTTGGTCGATTTAACACCAAAATATCTCATGCTTTGGTGTTTTGAATAGTTATACTCTTGCTGGTACATGACCGAATTTCTTGACATGGCCGTTGGAGCATATTTTGTTGACCCTTTTCTAGACAGTTTTAAATTAGACCTTGAAAGCATTCAGTCTTATGATATTTAATAGGAAAATTTTGTTATTAAATTGACGCTTTTAAATTGTTTTCATTTGTTTTCAAAAATATTTGATGTTGAATTTTATTTTATTTTATTTATTTATTTGTTAATTTATTTATTTGTGTGTGTGTGGAGAGTGTGGGGGCGATATTTTGAAAATTTATTATTCTTCGTGCACTATTTATCAGGAGTATATCATTTATCTACATTTTCAAATGTCGACTGGTGTAGGAACAAACGATTTATCAAACCAACATCATTCCTACCATTGAACTATGAAAGAAATAAACGTATCACATTGCATTCTTGACATTACCTTTGTTTAAAGCATAGTCTCAACACAACTTTATTTAAGTAAATAAAGGCATTCACAAAATAAACATCAATATATTGTACTTGTTGTTCTTTAAAAATCGAAATGTTTTTTACACAATTTATTTTGATGGAATCAACAAAGTCCCATATCCCCATATCTGAGACCTATAGCATAGAATAGGTTTAACCATATTGTCAAACAGAATGAAAAAGTTATATGTCGGAAAATAACCATATGGTTTCATATAACTACAAGTACGTATAAATAGAAAGTGTAGCACTGTGTTCTTATCTGGTCCCCTAATTCTAAAACCATAATTTCTGTTTTATTCAAATTTTCCTCCATCCAAGTATCTTTACAAAATTCACCGGCAATATTTAGTTGTTGTTGTATTTAATCTGCGTTTCCCGCGCAACATGCTACATCATCGGCAATCGTGAGGCAAACAATATCGTGAATTTCTTGTGTAATGAATATCCCAGAGATATAGAGGATATTTGTTTGTTTTGCATGTAAGATTGAAATATATGAATATGAATTTTGGTGACATCGACTTTTATTTTCCGAAGAAGCAACATTTACGCATGACGGCATTTATTTTTCTTGTTATTCCATTGAGTTATGGTATTCTTTTCATCCGCACTCAGATATAGTTCGGCTACAGTGAAAATTATATTTTATAAATTTCACTAGTGGTTGATCAGAATATAATCATCTGAAACAGATATATTACAGAAAAACACTGGAAAGCATTAAATAAAAATTTATCACGGAGCATATGTGCTAATTCGTCAATAAAGAGAGCAAAAGTTGTCGAGTTGGTGTGTCTGCCCATCGGGTTCCTATTTAGATAAAAGAAAAATTAGCCAACAACATTTTTTTCTGGTGAAACAGTTCATTTCAACGCTATATTCGCTAACATGAAACGCCACCATAACTACACTTCAAATATAATTTCGCTAACCTAACGTTTTCTGGAAACTGAAATCAAATCTACATGGCAAAGCATTCTTTAATTTCCAATATTTGATGCAAAGTTTACAAACAATAAAAATCAGACAACTAAAGATTAGTTAATTCGGCGGCATAAACCAGCTCAGTAGCAGCAATAAAGCGATTTACAGTATACCCCTGAAGGAAATGGTTCTGTTGTTCAAGCAGGCGAAAAAAACCTGAAATAATTGATAAAATACTCCAGCATTTTAGAAATTTTATTGTCGATTATTCAATAAAATTGTACAATGATACAGCATTGAAACAGATAATGTCAATTCAAATGTTAACATTGCAATTAGACATCGCCTAGAGGTCGCAAGGTATGGAAACGTACACCGGATAATGGTTTGTTTCAAAACAAAGTCGAGAAAAAGAAATAACTAGAGGTAAGAAATAAATAATTTCTTAGCTCAAATGACACTAATTTGTCATGAGTTTGATTTCAAATCTCCTAGTTCTCTTCATATATGCAAGATATTTTTGTTCAGTTTCTTTGTTAGTCTTGTCCAAAAATAAAAATTCTGAATTGGCAGCTTTCTTAAAAATCACATTTAGTACTCACATACAAATTTATAGTACGAAAGACAAACAGTTGACTTCTAAGGCAGCAAAAAATTCACGCGCCGAATGTACTGGGTATATACAATATGCTCTCAAAAGTGTACTTGGTATTATAAGTAACTGTACAGAGTATAACGTAAACAATCTAGCAGTGAAAACAATAAAATGCCTGAACATTTTCATAGCAGAACCGTCACCATAATATTTGTCAAAACCATTTATTTTCAGATAAAGTTTTGGAAGTTCCATCAGACAGATGGATACAGTTAGTATTTGGTTGGATGCCAAGTATATGATATTACATCATCTGACATGTACGTTTTAAAGCAAAAATAAAGTCAAAAATAGTTCAAATTAGAGCAATCGATTTTTTCTTACCTCTGATAACTTTCGCCGATTTCGTTTTAACTCAAAATACAGCTATATACGATTTACGGTCCCATACAGTGGATCGATACTGTCAACGATAGGTTATATGGAGGTTATATATTGAATTATGGAATAAGTGAAGGTTCAATACGAAATCTATTGAACGAGTTTGATTCAATTATATAAAGGCGAACTTCTGAGAAGCGTGATATTGTTATATCGTAACTGTAAAAGTGTGCGTTTTACGCTATGTTTGTATTTTGCAAATGACAACAAGTTTCAAATTATATTTCTCAGCATTTAACGTTTATCGATGTAATTGTAATGAAAAAGGGGACCATGATAACTCGGAAGTATTAAAATCATAAAAATTACATGAGAATTGCAGACTGTTTAATTGAGTCTGTACATGAGGGATACTGAAAAAATGGAACCTCCCTCACGCCTCTTAGCACCGATTGTAAAGCATTTTTGTAGTATTGCGTAGACATAAGCTTGTTTTTACTACCATCATGCATTGACAAGAAAAAAAAAACAACACACAAACAAGCCTAAAACAAGAATAAACAAAATATCATAACATGTAGTATTCTATGTTTAGTGATTTTAACGTGACCTTTGTTTGTAATTTGTACTATCGTGCATATATAAGCCGAAATCATAAAACACAAAAACAAGAACTCAAGAATACGACATGCACAATTTTATGCTTGGCGATTTTTTCAATGTAATCATTTTGTCTATTTGCTCCGTTATTGACTTTTCAACTTCGTGAATTCCTATTTTCAACCTCCTCTCGTTGTAGAAGTTTCAACAGGAAAAATGTATTGTTTAAATTCCACAAGGCAAGTTTATCTGTACGATTAATCGATTTTGAATTCAATCGTTCATGTTTTCACTATTTTAACATCTCAAGTTTAATAAATCTTTATTTACATTTCTACTGGTACTTAACAATGGAATTATAATAACATTTATATTATGATTTTATGATGACGAAAAGGGATATGAAAATGAAAAGCATAATAATAGTATGCTATTGGTGATGCCGATGATAATGATTAGTGAGATATGACAAAATATCAATGAGTCCTACACATGTAAATAAACAAGAATGCCACAATGAATGCAAATAAAACTATGCCATATTAGATTTGAATCAAGTGTTGTGTTTCCTCAGATCTAAAATGTGATAATTTCAACTCAATAAAGTGGCAGACAGATTTGAGCGGGTCATTACGTCTTATGAATTCAAACAGGTGCCATAAGAGCATAACAGATACAAGATGGGTAGCCAATGAAAGAGAACAAAATCATTTTGTCTTCAGGAACGGCGTTAGACTTAAGAAGTGTTTGAGCACATAACTAAATGCTTCATGTCGGTATATACCCGACAAGGCGCTTGAATTAGTTAAAGATAAAACTTTCACGTTGTGACACCCGAAATGCGCGCTAAGATGCCTAATTCATCGATTACCTCCCATTCTTTAACGATAATGAAATAAAACAACAACTTCAGTAGAAATTTAAAAAAAAGCAACCATTGAAGATGTATACATGTTTCTACTATACAGTTTTCTTCAATATGAACAATATATTTATGATATGAAACGGAAGTCTATAGTATAATTTATTAGAATTGTGTTATAATTTCACATTTTTAATTATGGGTCATTTTAATGAAATTGATAGTCTCATTTAATAACGAATTATCCCATATTATTCTACCAATGACCTTCAATTATGACAGGTGTCGCTGATGCACCTTCACCAAAGGTCCGGAAAGATAATTAGATATTTTCTATCATAAATGTTTATTTATCTAGCCAAAGTTAGCCTTGACATAGAACAAATATATTTAATAACTAATTGTGACTATTGCGGACATTGTTTGAGGAGTGTAGGCCATTTCAGCAATGGAAGTAAGGCTTTTGTGTTTACTGTTCAAGAACTTATTCCGTTTAACTTAAAATGATACAGGGCATAAATAAACGAGCTACTACTAAGACATCATTTCTTTCCTCTTTTTCCTTTCTTGTCGAAATATTTTAGAACTCCTCCCTATCCCAAAATTTTACATTTACCTTTCAACGTAATTTAACGTAAACTATTTAAACTTTATATCATAAAATCGTGTATTTATCAATCTGTGATACTGTAAATGATTAAATGACAACACAATAAAACATTACACCTTTTTTATGACGCTAAATAATCTGTATTCAAAAATATACCAAATGTGTATAACAAGTGACAATTAACAGAGTAAAGCATTTCATATTGCCGACAAAACTATGACACTTTTTTGAATGATCCTAAATAATCTATATTCAAACATGTACTTTTGTCGTGAATGAGCCTAAATAATCTATAAACAAATACACTTATTTCGAGAAGATATGTAAACAACAATTGTTAATACAACAAATAACTATTCAAACGTTTTAAAGGATGTTAAAAAAGCT